TCTGTGTCTATTTACTTGATACAATCTATAATTTCTGTCTATGGGTGTGGTGGTGATTATGCATTTATGATTGTTCATCTTATTGAATTCTGAAATTAACTGATCCCATAAGAAATCTTTAGCGTTCCTGTTGCCTTTCCGAATAGAGACTCTATGGAAGGCTCTCAGAATGCAGAGGCCTGTAACAATCGGAACAAAAATCTTAGTTTCCTGCGGCTTGTTTTTGAACGGGCAGTTCTAGTCACTGGAATGTCAAAAGTTGCGGGAGACGCAACATCAGCATTAGTTATGCTTGGATAGTCTTAGCAGCCGCATTTCTAACTTTTCCTTTCTACTTTTGAAGCGAAGTTCAGAGGGGTTCTTTATTGAGACTGATTGTGAATGCAATTCCAAATTGATTATCTCACGCATTTGTTTTGGGAAAGTTTCTGTTGCTTTCTGTCAGGGTTCCGTTTGAAAGAAACCTTCCCAAACCTCGAATATAAAAGTGTTTTGTTAGAAACTTACTTCGGTATTCCTTTCCTGTTGAGTTGATTCAGTTTTCGGCCACTAGCAATAATTTTATTTATTCTTTTGTTCTTTATTTTTATTCTTTATTCTTTACTTTTATTTCAGTCCTTATTTTTACACTCAGTGTATCGTTGCCTTTTCTTGACTCTTGAATTTTTTTCTCTCTGTCAAGATTTTGCTTGAACGAAACCTTTCCAAACCTTTCTTCAGGTTGAACCTACCCACTTCGTATTTCCACGTATCATTACTGTTATCCGTAATGGTGTGAAGCCACGCAGAGTTGTCCGTCATCTCCTGAATAAGAAGACAGCGAGGCAGTGTTTTATTTCCATTTCACTAACTTTTTTGCTTATGGTTTTTGGGTTCTAGGCATTTGTTTCTTCAGTTATACGATCGTTTTTGTGACCAGTTCATTTCATGAGAATGATACTTTTTTATCTTTAGGTTGTTTTGGAACCGTTCTCCTCATCAACACTTTGGTTGCTTTCAGGTCGTTTGATCAGGTTATGACGGATCTCACGTGTGTCGTTAAATTGGACAGTGGCGCAATCAAAAAACTATTCGCCTTGGGAGGAAGCGCGGTGAATTTAATTTCCAATTTGCATTCTCAAGTGATTTCGCCATTATGCTTATGGAAACCCACTTACAGGTACTCACTCTGCAAGACTTCTTTCGAGAAGACGACGTATTCATTGCTTACGGCAACGAGAGAGCTAGCGCCGACGATTTTTACGTAATATCAGAAGGTAATCGATTATCCCTCATCTATTTCCTAAGAGTTCTCGATCGAGATCTGAGGAATAGTTTACGTTGAATCATCAGACGATACCACTTAGTGGAGAATGATTAGTCACTGTGACTTTGACCGGTTTATGATAGATGGAAATGACTATCAAGCGAGTTCGAAGAAATCGATCAGGTCACTCTGCTATATGATTCCATCAAATCGTTGAGTTTCGTCGGTGCCTGTTCATTTTACCTGTTCTTCGACATTCTTCTCAACGTGCCTTTGTCACGGGGTAACGTTTCCCTCCGTCCGATATTCTCTGATTTGGTATATCGTAGTT